AAAGCGTGAATTCCTTAGAAACCACCTTTTTGGGGCTATTTTGGGAAAACCCGGAAGGCTTCTGATGCTAACCTTGTCGGAAGCAAGCATTAACAAGTAAACGCTATGTGTTCGTTTGTGTTCGCCATGTGAAAACACGTCAAGGGCTGAAGAGATTTCGTTCAAGAGGGCGGGCCGTGCGAGGAAGTGGGCGTGGTGAGGCAGGGAGTCTACCTGGACGTTGCGTTCAACTTTGAGCGAGTAATCAGGACTTTCACTTGGTCGCAAAGCGCATAATTGGTCAGTCCATATAAGTTGCATAGAAGAAGACATCCTCGCCTGGATCCGAGATTGGTCGCGGAATCAGATCATGTAAATAGTTTATGAAGAGTTAGGATTTGTGCGATGTATCTGTGCACATTCGGAACTCGTCCAGTGTGTTGCGCATTCAAAAGAACTTACTCGTTTCTCAAAGCACTGCTCTTTTTTTATTAATGGCGATTTTTCTTCGAATAAACTCTGAAAGTAAACGTTCTTCGTTAGCGGCGTAGAGGGTTTGTCAGTTTCTTTTTTGTAGTTCATGTGGGATAGCTTAAAACATGGGCACGTGCCAGACTTACGGGTACTATCCGGTTCACCCCATTCGCTATCGCTCAGTTCAGTGGTCCGACCAATAGCGAGTGAGTGTGGCGGACGATGCGGTTGAACCGGATAAGTCTGGCACTTACCACAGGTGGATACAGGTTTTGCAAAAGCAGCTTTCGGATTTTGTGTGTTTTGGCTAGAATATCAGTTTCTCGTCGATGTATTGGCCTGCCTTTAGGAGTATGACGAAGGGGAATGGGACGGCGTTGAACTGGAAGATCATGAGTACTTCGTTGGTGAAAGATCAGCGATCATGGCGGATGATGATGAAAGTGGAGCCTCAAGTTCACCTGCTCTCAAAATGCAGCAGAGACGTAAGAATTGACACAATAGATGGGTTCATACAGCAGGGTTCTTTATTTCAGCCTACTTCCCGCCAAATCTTTCCCCAACTGAGAAGAAGGAGTATCTTTTAGTAAATTATAAGAAAGCTTGCGAACGGTATTTTCCGTTTGCAAATATCGAAATGCTCGAGGCCGACACGATATACAAGCCGGTTGAAGCCTTTGCTAGCGATTTGTATCGGTTTCACTCTCGAGGTGCTCACATACACGGGTTTTTTCGTACTGTGATTGATACTAGGGATCCTCCTAGTCATGGTAAGGTTGCATGATTGGATTTCCCTAACCCTTCTGAATCCCGATTGTTGCAGATCAAACGAGGTACATCCAGGACATACAGTTTGGCAAAGTGTTTCCGCTATTTCCGGACTATGAGGAGTAAGGGGTTTTTGTGTTTACTCTTGAAGAAAGTATTTCTGTGCATTCAGATGGGATGATAAGATGCGTGATGAATTTCGTCAGCTCACTAGTCGTCTTTTGAGGCTGTTCGAAAGAAAATAGTGGGTTGTCTGTTTAAACGCCAGAATACATTCTTATAAAATAATTTTTGAAGCTTCTATGCTAGCGCTGGAGGTGGAGTTGGCAAAGCGCCTCTTGTGAAAAGGGGTCCAAAACCACAACCTAAGCCACCTCCGGATTACGCGGAGCAACAAAAAGTCAGACCCAAGGTAAGTGACGGTGTCAGCCCCTTCGTTATATATCAATGGTTATGCAGGGTATCCCCAAAGGCTTCCAAGCAGTTAGAGCTTCTTCAATACCGCAAAGGATAGGTCAGTCGAAACCCATGTCACAAGCAACTCTCATATCCCATCCGGTAGCTGCTGCCACCAGGTTAACCCAGTTACCACAACAACCTCCTTTGACCGAGGTCAGTTGCATCGCTCTCATCACATGTCTGGTTTCACATTTCTTCCCATTTAGATGGTACCAGTGCCTGATGAGGTAGGGGCAGCACGGGTCGAAGCGTTTGAACACAATAAACGGGCGGATATAAAACGTTTGGTGAATGATGCATTTGTGAATCGCGAACAGGAGGCGCC